ACGACAAAGCGGTTGAGTGATTGTGTTTTGTATTTTATTCTTATTTTTACCCAGCATTTTTAAAACACTTTTTTGAAGATAAGATAAGCCAAACCACACAAAGGTCACTTCGTCTCAGAGAGCGGAGAAGATTGTCAAGAGTTTTCAAGATTAAACCAGATTCAACCAAACTGATTTATTCCACGTCAGCAGTTTCAGAGAAACCGTGTTCCACATTGAGCGCTAAGACCCCCCGCCCCCCTCCAAAAAAAAATTTGTTTTAAATACTCAAGTTTGTCAGAGGTTTTTTTTAAAGTCATCTGAAAGAAGTTTTCTATGAAACTCAATTTGTGTGTCGCAATAATGATATTACAATACTTTGTTACAAGTTGATGGTACAATTCAGCAATCCTGAGGTCTGTTCGAACGAACGTTTTTCGTAAACTAATTTATGATATTCCTCCAGACCCTTCCCGTTAGTTTGTTTTTAAGCCATACTCCCAAACCGGGCACAGAGTCGGTTCACTTGATATCATGCTTAACTCGCAGGGTTTTTAATCAAAATCTCAGCAAGCGGGGTAGGTGGTTGGAGGGTGCTCTGGTATGGTTTGCTTCTTCTTTCCTATCAACCATCTATCGTCCTTATCTCTCCTCCTTCTTTTTTGATTATTACTCCCTTGTAACACCCCTAATCTTCGGCACTTATATGACCTTATTATGTTGCAAATGCCGTAAAACTCTTACAAAAACGAAACAACAAACGGGACATTTTTCAGCGTAAATTGTTGTATAACTCTCAGGAGCACTCCGCCCGCTTTGTTCTTTCCCACTGGGCATGGACGTTAGACTCTCAGTTCCCTCTTTCTTAAATAACCTTACACTGTTGGAAGAGTGATTAAACCCATATTATACAAGTCGATATCCGATACGATGCTCGTCTTAATCAATGCCTCAGTCAATGGCACGACCAGAGACAGTGCATCATGTCGCCATGCGTGTGCAGTCTGCATTAAACCATTTGCCCAGAACATTAACATAAACCGTGAGTAATAATATTATCATCATTAATAATCATTGTATCCGCTGTATACTTTTTATCAACAGATTTGCCAGTGGCATGCATATTAAGTTTTGTACTGAAACCCCC